GTGAAAACCACTTTAAGGTTACTCAAACTGGTAAAAATGTCAACGCTCATAAGCTTGTAGTTAGTCTTTAATGGATATTCTGTGACAGCAAATGAATTGTCTATTCATGCCATTGTCAGTTCAAGGTTATTTGACTGAAAAATATGACACTACATTGAATGCAGAGCAAATTAAAAAGTATACAGATCATTTTATTGGCATGTGGCATAGGGCTAGTTGGATTTTTATTGCTCACATATTAGACCAAAAACTATTACTTTAAGTGAGGTTTGGTGTTAGTTCAGACAATCATGAAGGGCCGATGGAGGTTTTTCAAGTCCATAGATGACTCTGAGTTTTGCCTTCTTTGAAGCACTGGGGCTTTGAATTTTTTTGGAACAACTCGAAATAGTCCCAAAGCTTCCAATTCTAAAGTCGCCCATCAATAATTTGCAGTCTCCATCTTTGCTTGAAGTGCAAACTAGCACAGAAGCTACAACACAAAAAAAGAGTATAAAAATACAAGTGCACTGCAGAGGATGTTTTGGACTATAGGGCACATTTTGCAGGGTTTTGGCTGACTCAGCTGCATTTATCCAAGCAGAGTATGTGACTGAAGAAATGCTGCAGATTAAGGTGGAATCTATGGTTTACAGTAACAGTGGTCCATGATAATTTAATCTATTTTGCAAAACTAAAACTCAACAACTCCTACTCCAACTTTGTATGATCTTTGAAATCAGTCAGCGGTCTTAAAATATGTAAAACAACACAACAAGGCTTCATGAGGGTTATAGCTTAAAGCTTGGACATTAATTATGTAGCGTGTTCCCACTTTAACCTCATTATTCCTGTATTATTGCAGGGAATTTGTGTTTTCAACTTATTTCCTTTGATGATAATCCTGGACATTATAATGCAAAACTTCTATTAACACCCTCTGCTTCCTTTGCCTTGTTGTTCTCTTATTGCTTTATTGGGGTAAATCTGGCAACCTTTTTACTCCATTTCTCTCTCCCACTCACCCTATCTTACAGTCTCTGTTTTGTCTACTGTATGCTAATGTACTGTTGCACAATAGAACTGCTCTGACTTCTTCCTTCCTTGACCAAGCAACTTTCTGGTTCATGCTCATAGCACTCGTCTGTCTCAGGGTCATGTGTTGCCGGGGAAAATCACCAGCTGGCGTTTGTGTTTGTGTGAAGCTGCTGAGTAATAAATATAGTATGATGCTGACAATATGTGATTTTTGCCTGAAGCTGTCTTGCCTAAAGGAGTCCATGTGTCTGTATGTGTTAACAGGAGCAGCTAAGTCGCCAAGGAGACGAGTCGATGCTTCAAAAAGCTCTCGAGGAGAGCAAACGTGAGATGGACTCTAAAGGCAAGGTATGAAATATTGAGGTATGGAATATCTCAATGGGTGTGTGATGACATATAACAGTACATTGAAGTGAACATTAAGCATATCGTGCTTTGAGATCAACCCAGCCATTTAATACATGCCATATCCTCAACTGACTCATACTTTTTCCTTGTTTCTTTGGTCAGACTGCCTTCATGGACCTAGTAGATGTTTTTGCAGTGCCGTCAGATCCGCCTCCTGTTGACCATCAGTGGAATAACAACCAACACCAGGCAGCTGCTCGTCTAGGGGGAACAGACCCCTGGGACTCCCTGGGTGAGCCTTCAGTCTGCTACAATAACCAAAGCAGGATTTTTCATCTCAGAAAGCATTTGTTGCTGATTTAATTCAGGCATCCTTTACTTTTAAAAATAGATTTACAGTGTTTAATATGTTCCACTAACACGCTACAATTAAAGCTCAGCTGTAGAATAAAGGCCTTTCTCTCTTTTACTCAAATCTATGCCAATGAAGAAGGAAGCACCAACACCTCTAGAGTGGATCCTCCCTGGATGGCACCTCCAACATCTAACAGCCCCCCTCCACCATGGGAGCCCCCAGCAGCCCCCTGGGATGATCCGCAGAGCAATGCCTCCAACCCACATGCTGGAGGCCAAGTTTGGGCTTTCCCTGGCAACACGGGTCAGTCTTGGGTTGCACATACAGTCTCAAATCAGCTAAAGACAATTAGTACAAGCCATTCCCATACTTAAAAAACAAAGAACTCCTGAAACTCTGTTCCATTATATTTTTTTCGTTTGCAGTTGCCTCAGGAGTTGATCCGTTCATAGCCTCATCAGCGCTTAGAGGAGCTGCTAGAGTACCTTCTCCCAGAATGGGAAGCCCCTCAGGTAAATAATACATTTCTATACATCTGTGCCACCGACAGCAGTGACCTGGGGCGTTATGTTTTTCATTTGTGCGTCAGTCTGTTCATCCCATTCCTGTAAATACTATATCTCGGGAGCAGCGGAAGGGATTGTCTTCCAATTCTGACTTAACATACACTTGCTCTCAAGGATTAAATGTAGGTGGTCGATAGTCAAAAGTCACTGTGATCTCTCAAAAGAGCCATAGCTGTATTTTAGTCCTACAGCTCAAAAATTCACATTATAATTAAGACAAACATCTCTGAGACCCAAACATGTCAAAGGTCAACTTCACTGTGACATCAAAATGTCTATCATATCTGTCTGCTTCTTGTGAATGTGATAAATCAGGAACGAATATCTTCAGCTTTGCAGACACACATTTTGACTCCAGGAGAAACTGATATATTTGTTTAACATAAGTCAAGGTCCCTTTTACCTCACATTCTTGTGAATGATATATCCAGCATTAAGGGAATTTTGCTACATGTGGTTCATTTGTTTTTATTTCTCTGCTGTAACGGGAACAGTCTAATGGGAATTATAATATAGAGAGTAACTATCTCTGGAAATGTATCCCTCCTGTAATTATGTTGTGCAACCTCTTTAGTATAATGTAGGCTAACTCATGTTGTTTTTTTGTTATGGGTAATGTATACTTCCAAATAGTTTTAAATTACAAATCCATCTTCCATCAATGTCCCAGTTATACTATTTTATATTAGATCATTTTGGGGGCTTTTTATGACTTTATTCAGAGGACAGCACTGTGAGAAAGGGAGAATGGCATGCAGTAAAATGCAGAGGGGAGTAACATGTAGTAAAGTGCAGAGGGGAATGACATGTAGTACAGCAGGTCAGAGGTCAAGGACTATAGCCTCTGTTGGGGCGCACTGTCATTCTATGGAAAACACAACAATACATGTAAACTGAACACCACAGGTTGGTGAGACATGCAGCTGTTAGGCAGTAATTATAGTTTGTTCTCATTTTGTAGTTTTACATCCCATATGCTAACGATTCACTCTTTTTCTGCTTGTCAGATGGGGACCTGTTTGATGAAGCCATGGATGGAGGTCAAGTGAATGTAAATGGCCGAAGGGATGGCAGCCCTGAGATGTTTGACCTCTCACGTCTTGGAGAAAGCCTGGCTGCACCCAGCCCTCGAACGTGCAGGACACCCGAGGCCTTCCTGGGCCCCACAGGAGCTTCTTTGGTGAATTTAGACAGCTTGATCCCAGCAAACCCTCCAGCCAAGACAAAGAACCCCTTTCTTTCAGGTATTTGTTGTATAACTGGTTGTAGATGGAATTTCTGTTTAGTTTAGGAGCAACTTAGTTTAGACTTTTGCATTTGTAGCTAATTCATTGTAGATCATCTGTAGATTAGTTTCAGCAATTCACTGATCTGAGCTGTAGAGTTTGCAGGAGAGTCACTACATGAAACTGTGATGCAATTCAAGTCATTGTTAAAAATAACAAACATCTTATGTTCAGCCTTAGAAATGAAAAATCTTATTTTTAAATCACTATAGCAATACTAATTAGTTATTTTTCTTTCTGTCTAGGCCTGAGTGCTCCCTCACCCACCAATCCTTTCCAAACTGAGCAGCCAAAACTTAGTCTGAATCAACTGGGTGCGGGCCCAGCTTCTGCAGCTCCCAACACTTCTCTCCCATACAGTGCCTCCTTGCCCCTGCCTATGAGCCACCAGCCTGCCAGTCTCCCATCGTCACTCACTCACCCCACCCAGCCTGGTTTGGAGCTGCCAGGGAACCTCCCTGAGCCCTTGTTGCCCTTCTCTTCGGCCAGCGCTGAGGGATCACTGGCTAAACATGACAGCCAGAACCCTTTCTTATGAGGACCAACGAAACTGGGAAATATATTAGATAAAAGTGAATGCCTTCAGTTTACGCTATTGAAATATAACAAACTGAAGGCCGAACTACAGACCGAAGGACCTTTACAAATGCCTGATTTTTGTTGATTTTATATTGTGGTATAACACAGTAACCCTTAGACTGATGAAAGCTGGTTCTCCGCTTCACTGCAACAATCTGTCCTGCTCCTGATGTCATGAATGCAGTAATATGATATAAAAGGGATGACGCTTTTTTAACAGAAAGTATTTATATCACTCGTGTCAAAACACTCTTTAGGGACATAGCACATTATGAATTGACTACAGTTAGAAACTCACACAAAAGCACAGTTTGACAACATTTTTTCACCTCATCGCCTGGAAAATGTATTACAGTATTTTAACTTGTCACTAAGTCTCCTGCTCACTCAGCTGGTTTTTGTGATTGGCCTAGCTGGCCACTGCTGCTGTCATATACTCTGGAAACAGGAAAAGAGATAAACTTCTGATCAAATACAAGAATAGGATACCTGTCCAGTTCTTGAGATGAACTTTGTGAGGCTTCTGCTGGACCCGATCTAAAGAGGAACATCTGGGTACACACGATTTTACCAAAATGAACTGAAATTCTGGGGTAAACTGAATTGAAATATAGTTTGGGATGAATGTGCTTCTGAATTTACCATAATCAAGGTATTAGAAAATGTATGAATCATGAGTTCAATTCATTGCTTGTGAACCACTGACTCTCATCAAATATAAGGGTATCACCAGAGTATTGCTTCATTATTCAGTTGCTTTTACTGTTTTGTGTTTCCTCGTTTTCTGTGATATCAATACCATTTATATGAAGTCATCACAACTCATGCACACACACCCAGAAACAGTAGAACTGTTTGTTGTACACTTTATGCCCCCTCCTGGTCATGACTCAGTACTATGATGTTACAGAACTCACACAGAAATCTATCCGAAAAGCCATGGTCTGCTAACGTGTTTCTCACTGATTAGTTATACAAACTAAGGGGAGAGAGTTTATTTAATTTCAGAAAAATTATAGTCCTTATTCAAAGTAGCATAATGTTAGGAACAGATACAAATACATGCTTTGACTACATTACAGTTAGTCATTCAATTTACTGGTTGTGTCTGAGTTGTGTTGAGTTTTAACAGTAAAAGTGACTAATATAAACAATTGTTGGTCACAAAGGAGTGTGACACATCTTACAATAGCTAATCAGCGTCATTCCACTTTGCCATGATGTCACCAATACCTCATAAAATACAATGGCAGGTATCTCCTTCCCCATTTACAAATTTTAACGTAGCTTATGTATTACAGAAGATACACCATGAATACTTTCTTCCTAAATGTTTTGACACTTTATCCAGAGCATCCAAACCTAGGCCTGCCATTAAAAATTCACAGACAAACAGTTTTGTACACGGAGCAGCAGATTGACAGTTCTTCCAAATAGACATTAAGTCATTCAGAGTCCTCTTGATAAGATGTAAACCTAAGAAAGTTCACTTCACTGTGGTGCACTCTAACCAAGTCAGCACCTCCTGGAGTCCCTGTCCAGTGCGAGCACTGAGTTCCAGTGTTGTGATTGGTTGAGAAGCAGATGCAATGATGTCATCCATTCTGAACAGAGACTTCATCTCTGTAAGGCTCATAGAGCAAGGCATGTCCCTGGAAAGGATGGAGCACAATAAAATTAGAAGGAAGAATCATAATACTGAATCTATATAATGTTGAATCTGCTGACATTAACATAATGACAGGTGTACATTTTGACGGCAAGCAACGATGTGTGTCACCTTTTATTGAAGACAATAAGCGCTGGGGCTCTGCAAAGAGGCTCAGCAGAGAGCACTGACAGCAGCTGGATACAGGAGGAGGATATCTGAGCAATGTTGGATGAGTCCACCATGAACTATGAAAAACACAGGAGGGAAAAAACATTCAAAAAGTTTTTTTTTTTTAACCTTTGTCAAATGTTGCATTTAGATTCAGTACATATACAAAGTACATACAATCACAGAGGAGCAGTCTTTGAAGTAACTTGGCCAAATAGGGCCCATGCAGCCCCCCAGCTCTCTTAATGTCACTTTCTTCTTCTTCAGTGTCAGGTCAGTCAGGTTCGTCCCTACCTGTGGAGGTTTAAAGAGACGTGAGGCATTACATGGAGGGGTTATCTCATTATAATTAAGCCTGTGAAATGATTCAAAAATAACTTCTATTATTGCTTACTGTAGGCAGAGTAGAAGGAGGTGTCCCCAATTCACCTAATCCATGCAAATTGAGGTGTAAACAATATCTATTAGGGAAAATATCCATAGCAGTCAGTGTGGACACATTTTAACAACATATAAGGCAAAAGACAAATCAACTAAGAGTTCAATATTAAATGTTCATAAAGTAGTATTTGCTGGGTTATGTTTAAAGTAGCATTTGGTCGAACATGAATTTTAATAAGCTATGCAATTAGAATGTAGTTTTCTTTATTAAACTAAAACTCATCTATAGCCAATGGCGTAAAATATTAATCTACACCTGCATTTGTAATCAAACTACACCAAAACTTGTGAGGGGTTTGACCGATATCATTCATAATACAAGTAAATCAATTGTAATAAGTATTGTTAAGGAAAGAACATCCACGTTAGCTCATCAGACTAGGTTAGCTAAACACTTTAAATGTACGTTTCTTACACTGCATAACGAAGTTCTAGTTCAAAAAGCTCAGCATGCTACAAAGGATATTTTGTAGACGTTTCAACAACAACGTTTTTCCGACACTAGTCGCCCCAAGAAGCAGACAAATGTCATTGTTGTTCATGTCTCTCGTTTAGCAGAAGCATAGAGAGGCCAGTGTGCGATGTAGCCTCACTGACACCATGGCGACGCTCACGTGACCGCGATACGTCATCTTGATAGGACGAATGAAAAATCTGTCATTTCCGCCTTGTTTCTTATTGGCTACACTAATCTCTCGTGTTAGCATAACGGAAGCAAAACAAGACCACCATATCTGAAATTGAGCTGCAATGATTCTCGTGTTGGTAAAAATAGCAGTTGTATAATAGTACAAAAAAGTGTGAGACAGCTGAACACCATGGAAGATAAGTTGAGGAAGGAGTTGGGGACAACCATGCTGAAGTCAACGGGCCACTCAGGAGGAGGATGCATCAGCGAGGGCCAGAGTTATGATACTGACACTGGAAGAGTGTTTGTGAAGATAAATCACAAGAGTGAGGTATTCCATTTTTTTTATCTTTTAATTTATGAGAAGGACTTTTTTGTACTCGTTGCCAAATGTGGTTAACACAACAATCATGAGGCTATGCTGATCCAATGGTTATTATCTCTGAACTTTGTGCACATTGCGAAATGTAAACGAAAAATTGATTTCCTGTAGCCCACATTAACATTAGACTGTAGATCTGTGCTACTGAATTGCACTCCACATCTATTGTGTGTGTGTTTGTTTTGCTGTTTGTTTGTGTGTTCATTTTTTTTTAAAGGCCAAATTGATGTTTGATGGGGAAATGGCCAGCTTGGAAGCAATTTCAAAGACAGAAACTGTGAAAGTGCCCAAGCCTGTGAAGGTGATTGAGCTTGACACAAGAGGATGCGTGTTCGTAATGGAACATCTTGACATGCGAGGTCTCACCAAGTAAGAAATCTGATTAGAATGTATAAGAATTAAAGTAGATTATGCTTTGCAAATTCATTTTTTTTTAAACATTATTTCCAATGTTTAGGTACTCAAAGCACCTGGGAGAGAATCTGGCAGATCTGCACATTCACAACAAGAAACAACTTGAAAAGTTAAATAAAGAGAAGCAGACAGTAGGTAATATGTCTTAACATTCACCTTAACATCTCATTAGAACATGCAAATGTGAACAATTTCATAAAACCATCTCTCACACTCCTACACTAAAATAGTGGTTAACGTTCAATTTTTATGTTTGAGTTAATTACTAAGTCATTATTATTTCCTATTTAACACAGGGAAAGGAGCTGGGCAGTCAGAGGTGACAGTATTTGAAAAATTTGGCTTCGGTGTAACTACATGCTGTGGATATCTGCCACAGGTAAAAAAAAACAATAGAGTTGTAAAATGGCATAACTGGACTGCATCGTGGTCTGATCTTGTATATTTGTTGTAGGTTTCAAAGTCTGAAGGATGTCAAGGCTTTCCTTAAAAAATACCATGGTATCACTGTTTTCTTTGTCTCGTTCACAGGAAAATGAGTGGGAGGAGGACTGGGTGACATTTTTCTCCAGGCACAGGCTGCAGCAACAGCTTGACATGGTGGAGAAATCCTATGGAGACAGAGAGGCCAGAGAACTATGGGCAGAACTACAGGTTTATCCTCCCTTTTACCTGATCAGAAAAATAATATGAAACACTTCAGTACAAATGTTTGATCGGTGCAGTGTTCAACGGTCAAAGGTGCAGCATGCATTTTTTTCTGTTATTTATTTACAGAGGAAGATCCCCCAGTGTTTCACAGATGTTGAGATCGTCCCTGCTCTTCTCCATGGAGACTTATGGGGTGGCAATGTGGCAGAGTGTGCAGATGGCCCAGTCATCTTCGATCCAGCGTCCTTCTATGGACATTCAGAGTATGAGCTGGGTATTGCAGGGATGTTCGGTGGCTTCAACAGCTCTTTTTACTCTGCCTACCACGAAAAGATACCTAAAGCACCAGGCTTTGCACAGAGGAACCAGCTCTACCAACTCTTCCACTATCTGAATCACTGGAACCACTTTGGTGGTGGTTACAGGGGCTCTTCAGTAAAGATTATGAAGAGTCTACTGAAATAATTGCACATGCATTCACTTTAGGAAAAACTTCCCAATCTTAAACTCCAGACAAATATTTGATGTGTATAAATATATTGACTGATTGTAATTGGACCAAAAATGGTATGGCTAGATTCAATTCATTGTTCTCATATGGCAATACCTATTTAATTATGTAGAAAATACAGAATATGTATAAGGCATTCTTTATATATCTAATATCTAAGGCATTCTTTCCCTTTAACCACAACTAGATTGAATTAAGCTACTTTACAAATGACATCTGATTTTACCATGAATGCAGAACTATATACTTTATCGAGTTTAGGTTTTGATCTCATACAGATCAATACACTAAAAAACACTACTTCAAAATATTACTGTTTAATGACTCCATGTAATATGTGCTATCCACTGCATTATCTCAAATAAATCGTGGTATGATTAAAAAGTGTTTGTCTTGCTGTATTTTTTTATCCACATGTGAAGAAACAGTAGAGAATCGGATCAGCGTTACATTAAACCTTTCTACCCACAATTCCCATGCAACTTAGTAATGGGCTTATTATTCGTCCTTTTACTTTATTCGTTTTCTTTTCTATTGCTACTTTGAATATAACTGTATACTGCCATATTATACTCTGCTGCTTCAAACACACTTTTATGGCTATATCTTCAAAATACTGTGCCTTCAGATCGTAATAAGTCTTGCCTTGTTGTAGGCTACTACATTTTTCAATTGCATTTATACGTTTCAGGTTAAGAAAAATAATCCAGTTTATTGACTTAATCGTTGACATGTAGGCTTACAGTAGCCTACTATTATTTGTTTTAAGTTTTAGCCTATTTCCAGAAATGAGACGTCATTCATTCCTTTCGCCCAACATTCAAACTGCGACGAGTCTGAGACAAGTCTGAACCTCCTCGTGTCCCGTACTTAGGTGGGGCGCGAGCACAACAGCTTGCACACCAACAGAGAGGTTGGAAATATTTCCTTGGGTTTGTGTTGTGAAACGTTTTCGTCTTAAGCATTATTTTATGTTTGGATTCTTAAAAACTTGCTCTGCGTCGTAGCTGTTTATATAATACATGTGGTTTTTCTGGCCATTTGTGTGTTTTCGTTAATTTTGCGATGAACACATGCTAATATTAGCTAGCTATATTGGCAACAACAAACGTAGCTGTTTTAGCATCACACTATAACATTACAATCAACACAGGCACTCTTCAAAGTTAAAGGCTGACAAGATGGAACTATCTGCCGGTGGTGAAGGAGGAGAACCCGACGCTATTGTAAATACGTGTTTACTGGGTGGCTTCAGTGAGAGCCGAGAAGTCAAAGCCCTCCTCTCCACCCTGCCGCAGGTCCATGGCGACCCTTTGAAGCGCGAGTGCACCACACAGAGGTTCTTGGGTGAGGCAGTCATCCATAAAGCATATACATCTGTGTTCTCTATCAGTGCTTTGTTAGCTTTTAATCACTCTCCTATCCCCCCACAGTGATAATGAACAGATATCAAGAACAGCCAAATCTCCTGGATCCACACTTAGGTACATACCTGGTGATAAGTATATCGTTAATTTCAACTGTTTATAGTTTTTACAATTTATGGGGAGAATTGACTTATTAAAGTACACTGTGTTCATTGTCAATTGCCTTAGAGTGGATGCTGAATATGTTACTGGAGTTTGTACGGAGTGACACATCTCCCCCTTCATTGGTTCATTTGGGCTTTAAGTATCTCTACATCATCAGCAAGGTCAGTCTACAGTACTCTGGTTTACATTAGTTGTGTCTTTTTTCTAAGTTTTCCACCTCAGTAAGTTCTGATTTGTGAGACTTTATCCAGGGTGTTTGTATTTCTTTTCGTGCAGGTCAGAGGGTATAAAATCTTAATGCAGCTCTTACCCCATGAAGTGGCAGATGTCCATCCAGTTCTGGACCTGCTGTCCAGACAGGATCCCAAAGACATGGAGGTGAGATTGGCATTACTTTACAAGTCCTAGTACAAATAATCTAAAATGACACACCTGTACATTTTCATCCCACTATTAATATCTACTTAAGAACTATTTTTTTTTCATCTTTCTAATTCCAGACTTGGGAAACTCGCTTCATGTTGCTTTTGTGGCTGTCCATGACCTGCTTAATACCATTTGACCTTTATCGCCTGGATGGTGATCTGGACGCAGAGAGTGGCAAGGCGAGAGAGTCCACCATGGACCGCATTCTAGCTATTGCAAAGGTAGAGTATATAATTATAATAATAATAATGTTAGAGAATGGTCCTTATATCAAACTTTTACTCCCTGTATTGGCTTGGATCTGTTATAAGGATTGTGGATCCTGATATGTAAGCGTATGATATGCACCATTAAGGCATTAGAAGATATTCCAGAAACATAGTTTCTTAATGGGATTTTGATCGTGGACTTGTTTGTAGTTAATTCACCCCTTTTTTTTTTTTAAAGACTAATGATATTGTGCTATATATCTCAATATTATTCAACAAAATGATTGTTTCCCCCCCAGGCTTATCTGCTTGTTGAAGATAGTCCAAGGAGCGCTGCATCTGTACTGATTTCAAAGTAAGTGCCTGACCAACATACAAGTAATAATACAGATAATCAGTTATTTCTTCTCCATTTGGAAAAATGATACCTGTCACAAATGAAAATGTACTTTCAATAGACTAATGGACTGGCAAACATAGTGTCCTTTTTAACCATGAGTTACACCTGGACTTAGCCAGATCTTTGATAGACACTGAAGAGCACATGAACTGTAATGATCAGATACAGTAAGTACCTATGAAAGCTCAGTTGTCAATGATTTCAGTAATAGCCGAAATAACAAAGCCTTCTCAGACTGTGCACACAAGTCATTTTGTGTCTTAATCAACATAAATATTTTCAAAAACAAATGATCCGCCATGTTTCAGCCGGAACTCTTTAAAATTATCGCTGATTTGATCATAAGTATTACACACGATCAAAGGGGCAGTGTATTTGATGCAGGGTATGTGTTACAGCCATCCTG